TGCCTTTGCGAGGAAAACAAAAGTATCAAGTTACAAAGTTGGCGTGAAGAGCTAAATTGTCACGTTTGCTGCTTCAGCGTATTATTGAATTTAAAATGACCAAAAATCAACATAAAACACCAGTAGTAATTAATTTGTGCGTAATTTTTGGACCTTGAATGAAAATACAACCTTGAAACATACACACTGCAAAGGGGAAAAGCCGTAGCAGTCTACCAAGGTAGACACAAACCGGAAGTGAACCTAGCAGGTGTGAGTACTTATGGGACTACTGTACCAGAGCTATCAATTGCGCTCTGCACTATCTGAGATTGTCTCACTAGTGTGCTGTGTGTCCGGGTCATCTGGCCGGCCCTACATACTGGTCACTTTTCAATGAACTAGCATCCCTTCCACGAAGGAGCAGAAGTATTCAGAGTCACTTAATGCCATGGAAACCGGAATAAGGTCATGTAGTTTGGACCACTTCACTTGACAGAGACTTACCTTTGCTACAAAAAAGCATATTTTACTAAAATCTTTGGATATGAAATGAAGAACCTAATCTTGAAATTGATCTCTTTAAGGAGCATACCTGTGCAAAGTTACAACACATTCACGAGCTTGAGGCTTCATCGTGTCTACGCCAAACGAGAGTGCAAACCTATGAGCAAGTTCCTGAAAAACACAACGGGCATTCAAAAGATTAATTGATACAACCCAATGCATCCCAGAACGTTGGGCAATGTTTAAATGGTTGCCACAGACATCACTTTTCAAAATTCCCTGACTTTTCCCTGATAAAAAATGCATTTCCCTGACCAGAAAAATACAAAATGTCAGATCTAGTAGTGGCTTCTAGCGTGAACCTACAGCCGTCTTTTCTACTATTCATAAAGACAGATACGCTTTCAACAAATTTTCCTTCTTCATCAAGGAAAAGTTTTGTTGAGATCACAGTGACCCCAAATGTTTCTTCCATCCTTCATTTGTATTAACTTAGCTGTGTTAAATTATTTCAATTTTCCCTGACTTTTCTTCACAATGCCAATTTCCCTGACTCAAAGTAAAACTTTTCCCTGACCTTGAAGAATAATTATATTCTTTCCCGACCATTTCCCGACAGGTCTGTGGCAACCCTGAAAATATACTGTATAAAAGAAGGAAAAAGGTTAAAAGCAGTACATGTACATTGTACCTTGATAGCTGTATAGTCCTTGGAGCTGGTATCAGCATTTCCATTATTATCGTCCAATAGTTTTTCAAATTCTTGCTGAAGACTCAGAAGCAAAGCTTTGGCAAATGCTGTGTTACTGATCTCACGGCATTTGGCCATGGTATGACGGATGATATCACCATAGTTACTGTATGCCTGCACAACAATCACAAAAGAAATCAATTCTGCGTGCTGTAATAGTGCACAAATATAGTCTAATAGTACATTAGAGACCAGTAATACTGAGACTGCAAAGGTGTATCTCCTTTTTTGTACATTTTAACAATCAGGGTAGTGAGTAGAAGTATCCATGCCTCATCTCTCATTGTGTGCCAACCCCATACTGCCTGACAGTTACAAAGTTGATTCGGCAAGCTTCATCAGGCTACTTCAAGGTGAGTTTAAGTCACAAATTGCAAACTACATCGAGATGATCAGCCTAAACTGTAGATAACTACAGCCCTATATCAACTTAAAGCTCATAGAACTGGCTATCACACTATACCAAGAGTTTTGAAAAAAAAAAAGGAATTGTCGAATTTTTCATATTCTCTAAATGCGAGCGTCTGAATCCCATTTGCGACACGTTTTCGTCGTTTATATGTTGAACTAGCTCCTGTCCTAATTTGAGGAAAAACGAACAAGTTCCCTTTGACTTGTAGCTTTCAAAAGGTAAAAACATTATCAGTTACTATGGAAAATTATTTTCAATATGCATAGTTTTCACACCTTAATAAGGAACGCAAAAACAGGAGAAACCAGTTTCAAGTCAATCACATTATAGGCAATGAGTTTACAGAATCCAGCCAATGCAGTCCTCTTTTTACTCAACTCCAAAGCACTGGTGTCTGTCTGATCCTCTGCGTAAACAACAACAACAACACTAAGGAAACATTCATGAAAGTAAGCGACGAATGATTTGATTTATCATACAAACTTAAAATAAGTCCTTACATGGTTAAATCCGTTTGAACCTCAGCTTTTAAGATAGGACAAAGGCATGGGTCACTTTGAAGACATGCTTTGAAATGCACAAAAAGTTTTGGAAACAATTTGCCTCGAAAGGTTGTCACAAAATACATATACATCTTAAATGTGTACGTAAATGTAGGTCTGTATAAAGCAAGTCAATACACATGTAGGCCGCACTTGTCTTCTCTGGTCCCAACAGGCAACTAGCGGCCAAGGGAGTGATTTTTGTAACAGAAGATGTTCACCAGTACTCTCAAGCAACACAGCACAACAAGATGATGCTGTCGTATCAAATTTTGGTGCAATTGTAAGGGTTCTTGCCTGAAGAATACGCAATTCTGACGTCCCGTCCACACTACACCTAAGAAATTTGAAAACAGAGGTTTACTTCGCCGGTTAGGCCTATTCCGTCACAAAAATGGAGCTTTACGAAAACGCGCTTCAAACCGGAGGAATTTAAGGATGCAGGCATTTCGAAACGGAGCTCTTCGAAAACGATACGGATAGCGTCGCGATAATCATGTGATTTTCCTGACCGAGGTAAATTAGTTTTCCTCCAACACAAATCCAAAATGAACATAGTGTGGACGGAAAACATTTGATGCATTTTCAGAGTGAAGCCTCCTTTTTCAAATTCCTCTGGCATAGTGTGGACGGAAAACATTTGATGCATTTTCAGAGTGAAGCCTCCTTTTTCAAATTCCTCTGGCATAGTGTGGATGGGAACTGACATTGAGTAACATAAAGATTTGCATATGCAGTAATGCTGAACCAATTAAAGGCACATCTTACTTACCATCTTCTTCCTCTGGTTCATCTTCCTCCAAGTCTGTAAACACATGGCTGACAACATAGTCTCGCAGTCGTACTTGAGTACTGTGATCAGCTTCGTACACCAAAGGAGCAAGAGTAGGTGCTACAACATGAAAAAGACAAAATATGTTTCTGCACAACCAGTTGAAAAATACAACTAATTTTTTTTTTGGTGCCAGTATCCCTAAAAGATCACAGATGTACAATTATTCTTTTTGCATTTTTACCAAGTGTACTGGTACATTGTACTATCACCGATTTTTTTCCCATCCATTTTCACAAATACTAACTAATCCTAATGCTACAGGGACATAAGCGTATGAGCTGGGAAGGGGGTGGGGTACAGAAATTATGTAACTTTTCGGGCAAAAATCTGGGCAAAAATTGACAACAACTGAGACTGCTGGTAGAGGTAATTGAGTATGCAANGCTGCTGTGTCAAAGCTGTTCAATTCCTTTTACCAAATAATTATTGTCTAGAATAGAATGGCCCAGTCTTCTTTGTGTTGTGATTATTGGTCTTGAGTATTAATTTATTCTTACCTCATCTGGTACAGTGTTGTTTCTGGCATAGTCAATGATGTAGTACAGATCATCATAAAGATCCCATTTGTTGAGATTGTGTGATCTGCATTCACAATGATAATAAAAGAAATGTTTACTAATGAGTCAACAGGATTTTTATAGAACCTTTGAACATTTCCAACAAAAGGAAACTATGATGACTGGAAGATATTTTCCCTTGCTTAACAGAAACAAATCCCCCGACCCCAAATAAAGTTAACTGCAGGATATTAACAAACCAGGAAACCAACAAACTGACAAACGGATAGATCGTCAACAAAATTTTGAAACAAACCACCAAAACAATAGTTTACAAAGCAGCTGGTGAATGCAGTTGGTGAACTTACTTGAAGAAAGATGTTATTCTGGCAAGATTGACATGAAGAGCAAATCTTTCTTGATCATCTTCATCCCCTTCATCCTGGAAAATTTACCATAAAAATAACATTCTTCAGTGAGGGAAGTCTCACCCATGAAGACCTGACACACATGTATATCATTATGAAAACATTTATTTTGCTCCCCCATCTTCAAGAGCCTTTGACCAGGTTCTTAGTGTGAGGTTTAGGGAGAAATTCAGACTTGGGTATTGACAAACTTTGTTCAACCATCAAGACAACATCTTCAACTTGTTTCTCCTCAAAACATCAAACATTACAATAGTTAGTGCATTGAGCATCGTCAAAAAGCCTAATTAAGCTTTGTTACTACCACATGTATAACTGTGAAACAGAGCAATGAAAAATGAAATCATCCACTTGGAGAACTAGGAAGGTGTGTCCATACAGTCATGTACAACAAACTCTTACACCTAGCATCAAAAGAGCTGGAAGGTCAATAGTAGGGGGTGAGGGGTGGGGGTGGGGGCTTATTATTGGTCAGAGATATCCTGTTGTTTTGTTTTGTTTTCAGTATGTTTTTGTTTTCATTTACAGCTATGCTCTCTAAAATAATATAGTTTTAACTTACTTTTAGTTGTGATAGTCACTCAAACATGAGGAAAATGACTGTGCAGTATTAGCATGTAAAAGTGTGTTTGAGGGCTAATTCTCATAACAATGTTACAAAACAGTTTCTACAGTACCAAACACAACACAAGTTCAGAAGAAACTTACTGCTTCCAAACCACTCTTCACATTTTCCTTGAATTTTGCCACAAATGAATCAATGAGTTTGTTTTTGGACACATCCTGTGATCAACGTAGCAAAAATTATGAATAAGAAACACAATGTTTTTAACAGAAGCTATTGTGCAGAGGATGTACACGTGTACCTGAACAATATATAACTATGACTTTTAAGCTACATGTATAAAACAAAAAAACTGATTTCTGCAAGAATTGGAAGTCGAATTAGACAGCTCAAATAGTATGGTGTTCACTCAAGTGTCAAGAGTAATTAAAGCTGCATGTTTTTTGCTCAGAATAGTTTGCCATGTCTTTTGTGAGAGTGATTACTCTGGTTTTGGTTTTACAACACTCAACTGAAAACCACTCTTGGACTGCAGGCAGCCAGTCTTTTGTTGTAGTGAGTTATCTATGAGCACAAATGCAAAAAGTGCAGCATGGAAGATTGTGTTCTTCTCAAAAATACCTTATTATCTAAAGCATTTCACCTATTACTTCCTGCCTGATTCTGAGAGAAAAACAGTCCATTCTATTACACATAAACAATGACCTAAAAGGTACATGTGCATGTATGTACTTACAGCTGTGGAAGCCAAGGTGTAATCATTGTCTGTAAGTGTCCTAAAACTTTTGCCACATTCATCTAAAACCTTGAAAACAACACATCATGTCATTTAAAGAGTGCACGTGTACATACATGTAAAACTATGTAGTTGATCAAGGTTTCAAGAACATGACAATAAATAACACCTGTGTGTCAAAACAAAAATAGTGATCAGCAACTACGAAAAAAAAAGGCACAAAGAGTTGGATCATGTGTACACAAGGCATCCAAGGTTGAGTGTCGATCGATACCCTAACTTGACCCTTGATTGACACTCAGTCAACATCTTGATCAACACTTGACTGACCTCTCCATCGATACCTGGTCAACACTCGATCAACATCAGACAACAGTCGACTCATTTTCACAGACACGCCATTGAGTGTCAATCAATGTAAATGACTGACTGTCAATTGAGTGTCACTCACCAGGTTAGTGTTGATTAAGACATCAATGAGGTGTTGATCTAGGTTCGAGCAAGTATCAATTGAGATGTCAATTGAGTGTCAATTGAGGGTCAATCAAGGTTATGGATTAAGACTCACCTGCAGATGTCTTCAGTACACATGGTCCGAAGAGTCTCTTTGTAAGAAGAAATTAGATGTCACTGAGATAAGAACTCCAGTGTTTACCAGCACTACCCACATACTTACATTGACATCAGAGTGCTTCTCAACAATGTCACTCAGCTGCGTCAAAAGTTCATCCAGATACTGAATAATCATAACAAAAAAGTTTATCACCAATACTGTGAAAATTATTTCACTGGCCATAGGTGTACATGAAGCCAAGTAATTCCAATTTAGGCAAAGTTACATTTGTAGCTCAAAGTCACATCAGAATTTTTTCACTCTGTGGTATCTACATTGATACAATAGTCATAGTGGCCAAAGATTGCTCTTAAGGATCTCTTGTGATTTGCATTATAATCTTGTCTCATTTGGGCTGATCTTTTTTAAATTGATCTCTGCCACGGGCAGGGATTCATATTCACAGTTGTCTGTCCAGTCATCAGAGACGACTAAAAAATTGTATGGATGACCAAAACAATACGAAAAGTCATCTGCTGGACGAGTTTAGTTTGATTTTACCAAAAAATAAAATGGTTTTTAAATTTTATGGGTTCCGTGCATTCTAACTACTTGTTATCCATTTGGAACTTTTGGTTTACAATTTCAATAACTAGTTTTCCACTGCAAGATTTCCTTTCACAGCGATAACTCCTGTTGGTAATTGCTTGTACAGTGTTGGGGTGTTTCCTGCCCACGGAATTGCCATGGATATCCCCCTACTGTGCAAGAGTTGTGTCAGGGCTCCATACGAATCTTTAAGACACCAGCAGTTCCCACATTCATCAACTGATGATCAGTGAATACTTGTAGGTAAAGGAGACTAAAAATACAGGATTAAATATTCCCAAACCTTTCCCAATCTCCTCTGTCCATACTCTTCCAGATCAAAGTACTGAGGGAGTGAAACAAGGTTTATAACATTTTCGACATCAGTTCCAAACTGAAACAAAAGGAGAGAGATCAGTGCAATGACCAATACTACGACCCTCATATGAATAATACGCACATGTATCAAAAATCTCTTCTAGTACAATTCAACACTTGTTTATTAGATTTAGGCCCCATCCACACTACGTGGAGAAAACAATTTGAAAATGCAACTTTATTTCAACACCTAGGCCTACCATCCACACTAATCCATCACAAAACCTTAGCTCTCCAAATCTTAGCTCTTCAAACTGGAGGAAATGGAAATGCCAGCTTTGTGTTTTAGAGTGGATTAAGACATTTTGAAAAGTCAAAACATAGCTCTTTGAAAACGATGACATCATGGTAAACATGTGATTTCCCCATCCGAGTTTTCCTCAAACACAAATCCAAAATGACCAGTGATTATGGCATTTTCAACTTCCTCTGGCATAGCATGGATGGAAAACTTTGATGCTGTTTCCCAGTGAAAACATTGTTTTCAAATTTCTCCAGTGTAGTATGGACACTGCCTAAAACTGGGCGTACACCACTATATTGAAGTTGGTTTTATGTCACTAATTAACCTTTGTCACTCTATACACATTGCAACTCTCTAATCACTTTGGCTTCCTTTGAGTTTTAACCTAGACAGCTCTGGTAGCCATTCCCTTCATACTGTACCTTATTCAACAAGCTTGGAAGTGTCTGCATGAAATGTGCACTGAGCTCTTTCTTGTCATTCACAGAAGACTTGTTTTCCTTTCCTTTCCTTGCTGTTCTCCCAGGGGGACCCTGCCGAGTTGATGCTTGTTTACTGGCACAAACCATTATGTCAATCAGTGACATTTCTTCACTGTCATTCAAACCTTCAGGAAAATATATATATATAATTATTTACATGAATTAGGTTTTACATGTATCTCTTGAAGAATGAGGAATGCTGCTGGTTACGAATTTTGGAAAAAGTTAACCCCCGCCCCCCCATTCACAGATTGAAGTTTCTCTTACGATAGCATTACATGTGTTAGTAGTAGTAATAGTAGTAGAGACCTTATTTAACAAGGGTGACACTTAAGGTGGGCACACACGAGAGCACCAGTCCCTGTGACTACTCCCTGCAGCAAGTCCCATCGTGTGACCTAGCCATTTTTGCTTCAAAATCTAGTTGGTCTCTGCGACAAGTCCCTGCGACTTGTTCCTCAAAACGCTTCGTGTGAACTGTTCATGGGACAAGCCCCTGTGACCAGTCCCTTCATGTAAACTCTTCAGGGGACTAGTTGCAGGGACTAGTACCCTCATCTGTGCTGACCTTTGATAGCAAATAAAAGTTAACAAACATGTGGCTCTCTAAAAATACAATAATAAGAGCCACAAAATATTTACAAATCTACAATTAACAATTTACCAGTAAAAACAGGGTTCGACACTAACATAGCCAACTAGCCACAGACTAGTAGAAATTTATTTTTGGCCAGTACTGTAGGTTTTCGATTTCCACAAACCGCTTTGGCTAGTCAACAAAATGAAATTGGCTGAACTAGTTTCTGTCTTCTTCAAGGAAGACAAACACAAAATTTACACTTTTCTCGGAAACAATGCCAGAATTTCATTGTGGACATATCATGGTACTGGGCATGTGCTGTTCAGCACGTATGTCTACTTTTCGCTGTGTGGTACATAAACGGGGAACTTAACATGTTAATTTCGTTGAAAGAAATATTTGACAAACAAGACAGCAACATAAATGCTCTTTTTTGTTACGAAATGTTTTTCATGAGCAAAATAGTGCGGAACTGCAAAAGGATAACATTTCATTTAGCGTACCAATAGATGGGTGATTTGTTGTTGTATGCATACTTACAAACTTACCACTACAGAAATAATTAGAGAAAGATTTATTTCCCTCGACATTTAAATCAGCCGTTTCTAGCAGTCGAATCTCGCCAACGACAGTTTACAGTATTGTTCAGATAGTTGTTTTGGTTTTGAAAATTTCTACAGTGCCTGTCTGTGAAGAAGTCTCGACAGTTTTTGCATTCACGTCTTGGGGGTCTCGATATTTTTCCAAGGAAGTCTCAGAGAAAGACAGGGTCCTGAAAGTCTTTTCGGGAACTAGAACTTTTTTGAAACTAGTTTAAGTACAGTATAATTAATTACCAACATTATGTATTAAAGAGAGTGGCTTGCATTGTGCTTTCAAGTCTTGCTAGTAATTCTGTTGTTATTGGACCCACCTGAAATTTTCGCGACACATTAACTTTGTGAATTTCGCGATTTAAAAAAGTCACAAAATTAAAGTGACGCAGATAAGTAAGTGTCGGGAACATAACACATTATGTTACTGTTAACATACAGTCTCGCCATTGCGTTTTTGTCACTTGGCATTATTGTACCTTCGATAAAGTCAGTTTACTAAATTCAAAGATCATGTTTAAGTAACATTGCCAAGGAAACAAATTTTGTGTTACTCAAAAACGCAAAGTTAAAGTGATTCAAAATACAATTTTTTGCAAAATCGCGCATTTAAGTGTCGCGAAATATGTATTTTGCTTTCCATGTAACTGGCCTAAATAACATTAATTATTAGTGAGTTTGGCATATCATACAATGTACATGTGTAGGTTAGATGTAGGCTACAAAAATCGAAACAAGCTTTGAATCCATAAAAAAAAATAATTTCTCTTACCCTGTTTGTCACCTTTATCCAAAAGAATATCAGTCATCAGCTTCCAATCCTATTAGCAAACAAGTATAATTATGTCAATTGGCTTGCAGGCAAGGTCATGGTCAGCTGTCCCTTGTTACTATTCATGTGTACACCTTCACAATGTACATGTGCTTGCATTGGCACTTCATTCTTTGAACTTAACATTGTCCTGCGTACAGCTTTTCACTAATTGTTTTCTTCCAAATGAATCATTGAAAATTTAATATAGTTAAATGAAATTTAACATAGTTAACGACTAGGAGCTAGTCTGGTCAGTAGCGTTTTTATAGGCGGTTGTTAGTGTCTTGGCCGTCTG